GAAAGAACACAAGAGTTAGATGATAGATAGATACACAGGTGGGTGGGTGCATGAACGGATAAATATCTACATACATAACAAATGTGGGTGGGTGGACGGATAGTGTGGTAGGCAGAATAAAGACAGACCCCTCCGCCTGAAAGATGTCCATGTCCAAATCCCCAGAACCTTTGAATATATTACCTTATAAGGGAAAAGGGAGTTTGAAGATGTGATTAAGGCTGCTGACCTCAAGATGGTGAGAGGACCCTGGACTAACCAGGTGAGCCCAATCTAATCACATCAGTGCTTAAAAATGAAAGAAGAGGCAGAAGATTGAGTCAGAGAGATGAGCCAGAAGAAGAAGGAGGAGAGATTTAAAGTGTCAGAAGGTCTTAGACAAGGTAGCATGAAGAAAAGAAAAAAACAGTAATAAATAAAGTGTGAGAAGGCTCAACCTAACCTCGCTGGTGTGGGAGACAGAGGGAGGGGAGCCGTGAGCTAAGGAACTGAATTCTGCCCATGGCCTGAATGTGCAGGAACCTGATTCTCCCCTGGAGCCTCCAAAAAGGAGTGCAGCCCTCGGCACTTTGATTTTAGTCCAGTGAGACCCATGCTGGACTTTTAACCTACAGAACTGTAAAGTAATAAATAAATTGGTGCCATTTAAAACAGCACACATGGGCGGGAGGGGGCGCAAGGGCAACATACATAACCTAAACATCTGTACCCCCATAATATGCTGAAATAAAAAAAAAAAAAAACAAAAAAACAGCACACAAAGTTTGGTGATTTGCTACAGCAGCAACAGAAAACTAATACAGACAGGCAGGCAAACAGATCTTACTTCAACATATAGAAGTTTTTCTGTCTGGTTATCTGCAAAGTAAAAATTTGTAAAACAGATCCTATGTTATAAATTGATCATAAATTACCATGTGAAAGATAGATGGATTTCGATATGCACAGTCCTTGTGAAGAGAAAAAACAAGTTCTATGTGTAGCCTCCTGAACAATAAATTTGAAGCATTTTTAGAATTAGGGGTCACCTCTCAGTATTTTCCGAACACTAGCACTCGGAATTGGGCACCAACTCTCTGTCTCTGAAGATTAGCCAGACGTGAAGGAGAATGGGAGAGGATATTTCTTTAAGAAGCTCTATCATCTAACCATGTGACTTCATCACCAGAAACTTAATTAAATTTGAGACTTCATGTGGATCAAGCAAACTTGTAGTCTCCTTTATTAAATCTTTGCAGGCCAAATGCTATCCAATCAGTGGCTTAATAAGAAATTTGTCTTTAAAGAGAACCCCTCCCCTATACACCCAGGAGCATATTCCCTTATAAAACACCGCCCCAGTCAAAGATGTGTCCCAGACATTAAAAGCGCAAGTCTTAGCAACTGCTAAAAACTTTCCTGTATGATGATGGGAGCTGATGATGGAAAACACTGAATCTGAAACTCAGAATCCTAATTCTACTAGCCAGGTTAGCCTAGGAAAGCCCTTTGTTGCAGATGCACCCTGGGGTGACCCCCATGAGTCACACCTTCCCTTAAGTGTGAGTAGAACCTGTAACTTCCTTCTAATAAAATATGGCAATGCTAAGGGTACTTTGCTGATGCAATTAAAGTCCCTAATCAAAAGGTAGATTATCCTAGGTGGGCCTTACCTAATCAGGTGAACCTTTTAGAAATGGGTTTTGAGGTCAGAGACTTGAGGCATCAGAGACACTGTCTCTGTTGTTAGCTTTTAAGAAGTAAGCTGCCATGAATTGCATGCCTCAGAAATGAATCCTGCCAACAGTCTGAGGGGTCTTGGGAGCAGATCCTTCCCCAGTTGAGCCTCCAGATGACAGTGCAGCCCAGCTGACACCTTGAAATCAGCCTGTGAGGCCTTAGCAGAGAATGCACCTAAACTATGCCCAGACTTCTCACCTGCAGAACCTCTGAGATAAGAAATGGGTGTTGTTTTATCCCACGATGTGGTAATTTGTTATATATCATAGAAAATGAATACACATTTAAGTTCTTTGAACTGTTCCCTTATCTATAAGATGGATAATAAAAATCTGTACCTCGGAGAACTCTTTTAAGGATCTGATGAGATCATAGACAAGAAATCACTCTTAAAATCTTGTCCAAATGGTAAACGGTGTTGAAAGAAAGACATTGGAATTGGTCCCACTTCAAGATAAGAAAACTGGGGCTTCCGTTCCCTTGAGGAGGCCCTGCTCCCATCCTGATGGGCATGGCCTGGACAGACCAGCCGTTCCTGTAAATTCAGGCCTTCGCTGGCAGGCCTGAGTGATTTTGTGCCTATGTGAGGGCTTTGACCCTCCCTGGAGCCAGCTGGCAGCCTGTGTGTCAGTGACAATCACTCTTACCCAGCTGAACTCAGAGGACATTCCTGCTGACCTCAAGGCCTCACTTTCCTGCTGGTGTCAGAGCTGCAAAGGCAACCTGCTTCAGAAACAGCAGCTTGTGGAGTGGGGCCCAGTGCCCCAGGTTTAGGTTCACTGTATGACCTTAGGCAAGCCCATCCTAAGATGGTCCCACTTTCCCATCTGGACAAGAAGTGCATTGGCCTGGATCTGTGATTCCATCTTCTAAGCACAAGAATAATAAGCAGCATTTATGGGGAGTCCTTACCATGTGCCCAGCATGTGCTAAGGGCTTCTCACGCCTGACCTCATGGAAGCTTCAGGATAACTCTCTGAGAGCCAACTCAGCTCTGCCCTAAATAGCTACGTGGCCTTAACTGATTTACTTCCATGTTCTGGGTCTTCATTTCCCAATCTGTAAAATGGGTATACTGGTGGTACACATCTGTATTAGTTCCTGTGCTGCGCAGCACAGCACCACTAACTCAGCAGCTTAAGGAAACAGCCATTTACCATCTCATGTCAGAGGTCAGACACCCAGGCTTGGCCTGACTGGCTGATTTGCCCAGCATGACAGGCTAAAATCAACAGCTGGCCAGGCTGGCTGTTGGAGGAACTCCTTTCCCTGCAGGTGTAGGAATGGAGTCCCTAATGCTGGCCTCATGGGTGAGGTTCTTTCATGAACTATGGCCCAAGAACTGCTAGTGGGTTTGCAAGGCATCCCAGAGAGACATCTCAAGGCCTGCTCGGGCTCCAGTCCGGGACCCTCAGCCTTGCTTGAGAAATTTTCCCCAACAGCCTCCATGTGTGGGTGCCTGGCACACAGCAGGCGCACAAGGAACGTTTGTCAAAGTCTTGGGAAGGTGAGAGCTGTTCGTGAGGCCCCGCCCTTCCTCTCCCCACGTTCTCAGGCTCCACAGGTGTCACTCGGATATAATTTGGTGCTTCCTCCTTGTTAGTGAGATGCTCAGGGGAGTAACAATCAAGTGCCAATGTCCCTGTGTTCAAAGAGTCCCAGGCAGCTACTCTTTGGTCTGGATGGCATGTATTCCCGCACTCCCCCTTCCTCTGAATGTTCCTTTGGGGGACCGTCCGTCCCCATTCCACCCAGTTGGGGTTAGGGCTGATGGCTTAGGCCTGGAAGCCCCTATTACACAGGCAGTGGGCCTTCTTTTGTTCGGGCTACTTTGAGTTGGGCTTCTGTCCCAAGGGTCCAGAATGATCCATGAAATAAAGCGTGTGCCAAAAAAATGATGGACATTGGGAAAGACAAGAAGTGGTTTGGGCAGCATGAAGCTCCACCCCTGCAAGCGTGCTCATGGGCCGGTGCCAGCAGATCACCTGCTTGTGCTAGAAATGCAGAGTCTCAGGCCCCACCCCAGACCTGCTGAATCTGACTGCAGGAAACTCCAGGCCACTAGAATGCCCAGTTCCAGCTGGGGAGTGACACTTGCTGGTTCAAATCTGGGTCCTTGGGGTGGCGGTCTGATCTATGTCAGTATCCTCGTGAGAACAACGGGGCTAATAACGCCATGGACGTCATGGAGTCCTTGTAGGATCTAACAAGACAATGCACGCAACAACACAGTGAGTACTGTGCCTGGCACGTAGCAAGCGCTTGGCGATGTCACTTCTGGATGTGCAGTCCCAGCAGACAGGGGGACGCAAGGGAAGAGGTCATCTCCAGCCACTAGGCTCTGAGCAGCTGCAAAGGAGGCTTAGGAATTTGTGTCACCTCTTGAAGGATATCTGGGCTTTGGATAAAATACCGACAGCAGGGAGGGAAGGCTACACCCATCCCAGGAGGGGGAGAATGTTGACAGCCTGAATGTGGGGGATGGATGCGCCAGAGACCTGGGTTCAGAGTGTGGCGTAGAGCCTGGGGTGAGGGCAAAGGCAGCACCAATTCACACTGAGTAGGAGGGAGGAGATTATGGGCAAATGAGAGCAAAAAGTTTCTAGGGGGCAGAAAGAGGCTGGGAGCTGGTTAAAGAATCTGCTTTTTAACTTACATGTAATGGGCAGCCTGAAGGGTTTGGAGCAAAGGAGCAAGACAGTCAAAGAACGACGTCATGAAAGAGTGGTATTAAAATCCATGTGTCCCCCCATTTGTTGTTGGTGGATACGTGCATGTGCACGTCGCAAAGAGAAGTCTGGAAAGGTGTACTCTTAAATGTTAACAGTGATTATCTCTAAGTGGCAAGGTGACTATGATGTTTTATTGTCTTCCCTTTGCTCATCTGTGTTGTCTAATTTTTCCGCAAAGGACATACATTACTTGCATAATTAAAAAAGCAATAAAAGCTGTAAATAATTAACATGTTCTCTCTTCAGGACTTAAATTGGATGGATGTGTTCTCGACCCAGTTATTTCAAATATTTGCTAGATTCCTGGCCTTAGAAAGGCTCCATTGAGAAACACATGGGCAGCAAGGCCGTGTGGGGCGGACTGACGGGAAACAGATTCAGTCCCTTCATCTGGAACTCCAGACCCTGGGAAACAGAACTCTTTCTCTGGAGCACAGAGGTGCCTTTCGAATCCCATGCTAAGCTCGTCTGGGGGGTTAGCCAAATTGTGACTTGCAGCTCCTGACCCTGTGCCCGAGTGGAAATGACAGAAGTGGCTTCACACCCTACCTTTTAGGGTTGATCCTTAGTTTTCTCTGCCTGCCGCTCCCACGAGGTGTCTTGGCCCTCTGAGGAGGCGGTCCTTTCTTCCGTTGTGGCTCAGATGCCGGGTCCTGGGACATCACTCCTGGGACTGTGGGGTGGGAGAGCTGAAAATACCAGGCATGTTGGCATCATGTTGCTCAAGGCCCTCACGATGGGGACAACCCAGAAGGGCTCTCTGTCCGCAGACAGGAAGTGTCTACAGAAATCAGGGGACGGCCCTGCTGCGTGGACAGACGGCCTGAGCCCCTGAGAGGCGCCCAGCAGGCACCTGCAGAGCGTCCCGGACAAATCCTTCTGAAACTCCTCTTGGGCGGGGTCTGCAGAGGGAGGCCTGGGAAACACCAGAGCCAGCTGCTTTTCCCTCCCACCAGGCCACCTCCCCACAAGGAGGACTACACTGGACCTGGGACCCCCATCTCAGACTCAACACATTCTGGATGAACCTGCCGCTCTGGGGATGCAGAAAGCACTGCCCCCACCTTCAAGCTCCACCCAGAGAAAGCAGAGCAGCCTGCAGGGCTCTGGACCCCAGGCCCGGGTCCTTGTCCGATAGGGTTAAATTAGAGCTGAGGCCCCAGGACCCCTCTCGGCAGCCCTGGCCCAGGCCGCCCCAGAGCAGGACTGAGCCCTGTTACTAAATCCAGTGCGCAGACTCACTGTGGGATGGAACTGCACACTTACCACCTAATCGCCCCGTGAGAACACCCTTGGGCATCGCTGCTCCCAGGAACCTCCGAAGTAGATTTGGGTGCACTCATAGGGATTATTTCTCCAGAGCCCCTGGTATAATGACTCTCTCCTTCTAAGGGTTTTTTGGTTTGTTCGTTTTGTTTTTGCCTGGAATCTATCTCTCAGTGAGAGTTTCTGTTTTATACTCTTTAGCTTACCCACAGAGTTCTCCTCCGTGGTGCAGTGCTTCCTTTTATTTTTTTGCCTCTGTTACCAGGAAGCTCAGTTAAATGTTATGGCTAGTTATGAACAATATCTCATGCAGAGTCTCAAGTACAATAATTCTTTCCTCGGAAATTTATTTTTTTCCAAGACTTTCTTTTGGTTTGCATTTTTGCCCTTTATTCTTTCCTGCCCTAAAGGTAGTAGCCCCAACCTTCCTCGGGAACCAGCACATGTTGCAGGGGACGGTTTCACACTTCCTCTCCTGCCCACCAAGCATCTCTGTCAGCCCCTGGGTCCTGGGCAAAGCTGGGCATTACCTTGGATATCTGAGCCGAACTTCCTTCTCTAGGCCTCGTCCGGGTCCCTCCTCCATTGCTCACGGGCAGGGCGGCAGGACCTTCATCCCGGAGGCCGCCACCAGGGAAGTGCAGGGCCGAGTACACGGATACCGCCTTCCCCTTCTGCTCCGCGGGCAGAGGGAGGCTGCGTCTCAAGCAACACCACGTGAGCCGGGGCTCGGCCTTCAGCGAGGGGAATGGGCTCTGGTCCCTGCAGGTCCTGGGGGTCCCTGAGTGGGAAGACAAGGCCAGCTCGGGCCAGCTGGGGGGCATGGCGTGGGGCTGAGGGAGGGTGGTGAGGAAGGAGCTGGGCTGGAGGGAACAGCAGGGATTGAGCCCTGCCAGAGGCCCTGATGGAGGGTCTTCCAGAGCGTTCCCAGGAGGCACCCCCAGCTCCCAGCTGGGTGCCCAGGGACTCGAGGCAGCCCCAGAGGGCCTGGCCATTGGGAAAGTGCTGCCCACGCAGAGGTGATGGATGGCATGTGTCTCACCCTCCCTGTCCTGAGCCGTGTGGGCCTCACACATGGGTGTGGATGGGGAGGAGGTGGTCTCCCTGGGGGCCCCTAGGGCTGGGCTGCAAGACAGGGGGGTCCCCAGGCCTGGTCCAACAAAGGATACCTCTTCCTTGGGCCACCCAGTCCCCATTCCCTGGGGAATGGGCAGTGAAGAGGGGGCCTCTGCCCGAGGTAACTTGAGCAGGTACTTGGGGAAGAAGGCATTGTCTGCTGCAGCAGCCAGGACGCCGGAAGCCTGAGGCTGGGCAAAGGGTGGGGCGTGACGCCCGTGGGCCAGGGCTGCAGGATGCCACATGGGCACCTGGTCCCTCAGCCCAGCTTGCTTCGGAGCAACAGAAGCAGCAGCAGAGGAGGCTCTAGAGGACTCCAGGGGCTCGCTTGTCCGCCCGGCACTCCCGTGCTCCCTGCCTGGAGCCTTCCTGGGGTCACTGCCCTGCTCCTGGGAGGCAGCCTGTGCAGGTCCCCCCGGGGTCTCTGCCCCCACAGGCTCCAGTCGCTCCGGGCTGCCCAGTGTCTCCACCTTCAGTTTCTTCCTCTCCAAGCGGAGCCGGTCCTCCCCAGGGCCACTGCTGGGCCGTATCAGGATGGTTTGGGCCCAGGGACAGGTCTCCGTCATGCCCCCACCACCTCGGGTGCCTCCTTCCAGCTTGGAGTCTGGCAAAACCAGTCTGCGAGCCTCTAGGTCACCCCCTTTAACGGGGGCAGATGCTGGCGGCAGCTGCTGCTCCAGTTCCCGCCTCCCATTTGAAGGGAACAGAGGGCTCTTGCTGTCCAAACAGGGGGTGTCTCTGTCACTGAGTGTAGGGGATGACACAGCCCTGTCCACCCTGGGCTGGTCACTGTCTCCTGCTCTGGCCACTGTCTCCCTGTGCTTAGGGGGCTCAGTCACCAGGGAGGCCTCTGGGACTCCAGGGCTTCCCCAAGGCTCTGGCCTGGCCCCTCTGGAGATATCCCCAGCGGCATTGCCCCCTGCTGCCTCTTCCCGGGGAGGAAGGTCCGGCTCTGTCCTACTGCCTGCTCTCACCTCCCTGGCTTTCTTGCCTCTGTGGGGGCTGCTTTTCATTTTCTGGTAGAGTCTCTTGAACGTCTCGTTCCCATACACTTGCCACTTCTCCTGGGAGAACAGCTTCAGCCTTCTCTGGCCGCATTTCTTGCCGTCCACTCTGCCCTTGCTGGTCGCCCCCTCCCCTGCGGCAGTTCTCTTTCCCTCCGGGTCCTCTGCAGGGCCCGGGGAGTCTCCAGGGGACGTCCACGGCAGGTCTTCCACGGCAGCCTGTCTGACCAGGGCCCGGGGGTGCCCGCTGGGGACGGCAGCCCAGGTCAGCCCCGAGTGGCAGCCCGGCCGGGCCGGGGTGAGTCTGGGGCTCAGGGGCTTCTGTGTCCTGGGGCAGGCGTCCTGAGGGCCCAGTGGTTCCCGCCACATCCTGGAGCCCTCGATGAAGGGCAGCGAGTTGCTCCTCGTGACGGGGATGCACTCCACGGTGGATTGCTGGGTGGGGACGGAGTGGAAGAAGAGGGGCCGCGACACGTCTGGGGGCGTCAAGGTGGAGCGCGCAGGGCCGAGCGCAGCCCTCCTGCGGCCCGGCTCGGGCGCGCGGATGTCGAAGTGGAAGGAGTCCTTGTAGGTGTAGGGCATGGGCAGGTCGATGCTGCCCTGCTTGGACAGGCCGGTCTTGCGGGGCCGCACGGTGTCCAGCTGGGCGTCGTCCACCACCGCCTGGTTGTGCGAGATGAGCCGGGCGATGCGCTCCTCCAGCCGCCTCTTCTCCAGCTCCAGGCCGGCCACCCGCGCGCCCCCCAGCCCCGGGCCCGGGCCCGCCTCGCCCTCGGACTCGGCGCTGTGCTCCGACAGGCTGTGCAGGGGGCTGGGGGGCGCCGGCGGCTGCTCCGCGCTGTCCGAGCGGGACAGGTAGCCCGAGTCGGTGCTTTCGCACTTCCGCAGCCGGCCCTCGGAGGCCTTGGCGTCCCAGGGCTTCTCCAACGTGGCCTGCTGCCGCTGCAGCCAGCTCGGCTTGCCGGCCGGCGGGGACCTCTGTTCCAGCAGCTTCCGCCAGGGCTGCGAGCCGGCCGGCGGGGGCCCGGGGTACGCCATATGGGCAGGGTCCCCAGGACCGTCTCTGTCGGCAGGTGTGGACCCTTGGCAGGGAACAGCGTCCGTCTTCGTACCTAGGTTCTTGGCAACAAGGGACACGTGGCCGCCTGCTGAAAGCGGTCCCTCTGACGCGCCCTCACCCAGCCTCTGGCTTCGGCTTTCCCGGCTGAGGTCTGCTCTGGAGGGCTCTCTGGCCTTGTCCCCCTCCTCCAGAAGGCTGCCCCCACCCGCCTCGGACTCTGAGGACAGCCGGGAGTTGTTGAGGTGTGTCTGGGTTCGCCTGTGCTTGTACAGGTTGCTCTGGGTCTTAAAGGCGATGCCGCACGTGGCGCACGGGAACGGCCTCTCGCCCGTGTGCGACCGGATGTGCTTCTCCAAGACGCTGGGCTTTAGGCAGTCCCGGCCACAGTGCGGGCACAGGTGCTTGCCGACATTCCGCACCTTGCCTGTGCTGCCCACCGTGGGCCCCAGGCCTGGCGAAAGGACAGGCAGAGTGCCCACGATGTTCATGGTCAGCGTTGGGGCTGCTGGCTTCCCCACCTGAGTAGGGCCAGGCCCTTCAGGCTGCAGCAGGGGGCTAAGGATGAAGGGCATGCTGCTTCCATCCAGGCTGCCAGTCACTAGGGGGGCCCGCGGCTGGAGGCCCCCAGGAGGCACAGTGTGGTACAGTGGGATGGGCAGGGCCTTCAGGAACACCGTGGGGGCCAGGCCCTGCTCTGGAGGCAGGATGACAGGGCCCAGGGCGAGGCGAGGCGAGGCCTGGCCACCTGGAGCCCCTGGGGGGCCAGGAGTGGGAGCTGGCTGGTCCCTGGCAGGAGGGGCAGGGCAGGTGGGTTCTGGAACCTCCATTCCACACCATCTGGGCAGTCCAGGATGCTGGGCAACCTGTGGGCAACAACCAAACTTTACTGTGGGTACCGCTCTTCTTCCTCATACATAAAGTCTTCCCTACCCACCATGGGCATTTCACCACCCCACTGAAGCCTGACTACAACCCCCCAGGAAAAGTACTCTTATCCCAAGTTAGAGAAGAGGAAACTGAGGCTCAGAGAGCAGAAGTGACTTGTCACATAGCTGATAAGTGGCAAAGTGGGATTTGGACCCAGGTCTGTCTGAATCCTGTCTGTCATTTAACATGACCACAGGGGACACCTGATTCCTGTCCTCTACACAGGTCCACAGCAGGTTTGTCACCCTTATGCCCTCACACTGGCACAGCGCCCCATGCAAAGAAGTCACTCAGAAAATGTGCTGACTTCATGAAAAAGAAAAGTCACACAGCTTGTCCGGGTCCTCAAAGTCCACAGTGATTCCACGAAGGTCCCTTTCCTTGTCTGAGACCCAGTTTCCAGATCTGTGAAACGGACAAGAGTCAGGCCCAACCCACTCTGGGGCCCAGAGTCTCTGCTACAGGAGGGCAATGAGGAAGAAACTGACCCAAATCAGGGCTTGCCAGATTTAGCGAACAAAAATCCAGGACTCCTGATTAAATTTGAATTTCAGATAAACAATGCAAAATTCTTTAGTATGAGTATGTCCCAAATATTGCATGAGAATTACTTTTAGTATAAGTATGTCCCAAATCACGCATGAGTCATGCCTATACTAAAACATTGTGCATTGTTTATCTAAAATTCAAATGTAATTGGTCACCCTGTATTTGGTCTGATGACACCACCAGCGAACGGAATAATTCCTTGGCCTCAGGTCAAGGCTTAGAAATCCACTCAAAGGTGGGGCCTCCAAAGCTCCTCTAGATCCAATTGAAACCAAATTGGTTCCCTCTAAGCCAAGAAGAATAGCATGGCAAATGCTAGGGAAAGGAGCAGGAGAGGCCTGGCCACATTCTTCAGATCACAAAGGGAAAGCCAGGTGCAATGGGGAAATTTTGGACAGGTCCATGGCTAGGGGATCAGGGGTCTCCAGGAGCTCCATAAGCATACTTCACCCATCCCCAGCTCAGCTCCCAGAGGAAAAAAATCTACATTCCTGCCTTTAGCAGCAAGGTTGTCTAAGTAGGGTGCGGTAAAAGTCACAGCATGCCGGAGCCAGCTCTGACCACTCCCACTGGCTCAAGAGTGCTGATTGTTAAATTTTCAGGAATTTTGCAAGCCAGTTGTTAAACACAGCCATAATTAAAAGTTAAAGTATCTAAACTTACAATTAAATAAATTATATTAAAAACAAAGCTACTACACCTGGATATCTACATGCAAAAGAATGAAGTTGGACCCCTATCTCACACCATGTACAAAAATTAATTCAAAATTGACCACAAACCTAAATGTAAAAGCTAAAACTATAAAACTCTTAGAAGAGGACATAGGATTAAATCTTCGTAACTTTGGATTTAGTAAAAGATTGTAAAGATATGACACCAAAAGCACAAGCAGCAAAAGAAAAAATAGAGAAATTTGACTTCAAAATTAAAAACTTTGGTGCAACCAAGGGCACAATCCACAGAATGGGAGGAAATATTTGCAAATTACATATTTGATATATCCAGAATATATAAAGAACTCTTACAACACAACAACAAAAAGACAAATAACCTGATTTAAAAACGAGCAAAGGACTTGAATAGACATTTCTCCGCAGAAGACATACAAGTGCAGGTAAAAAGATGCTCCATACCATTTGTCATTGGGAAAATGTAAAGCAAAACCACAGTGAGACATGACCAAGTAGCATGGCTATAGCAATCATAAAAATAAACTGGAAATAACAAGTGTTGGTGAGGATGTGGAGAATTCAGAACCCCTATGCACTGCACGTGGGAATATAAAATGATGTAGCCACTTTGGAAAACAGTTCGGCAGTGCCTCAAAAAGTTAAACATAGAATTACCATATGACCCAGTAATTCTACTACTAGGTACATACCCAAAAGAATTCAAAACAGGTATTAAAACAAAAACATGTACATGTTCATAGTAGCTCTATTCCAAATAGCCAAATGGTAGAAATGACACAAATGTTCATCAACTGATGAGTGGATAAACAAAAGGCGATATAACTATATGATCAAATATTATTCAGCCATAAAAAGGAACGAAGTATCGACACATGCCACAGCCGAGATGAGCCTTGAAAACGTTATGCTGAGTGAAAGACATAGGCACAAAAGGTCACAGATTGTATGATTCCATTTGTATGAAAAACCTGAAATAAGAAAATTCCTAGAAACATGGCCAGAGGGTAGGGGAGAATGGGGAGTGACTCCTTGGGCACAGGGTTTCCTCTTGGGGTGATGAAAATGTTTTGGAAGCAGATACAGGTGGTGGCTGCACAAAACTACGAATGTACTAAATGAGTTGTACACTTTAGTTAAAACGGCAAATTTAATGTTAGGTGAAATTGTAGCTCAATTTAAAATGGGCGCTGTCCCAATTAAAAAAAAAAAAGGTATTGTCTTTACTGAGTAAAATTACTCAATTTCTTTTAAAAAGTACTTTGGACTGCTATGAAAAAAATATCCTAGACTGGGTGGCTAAACAGCAAACATTTATTTCTCACAGTTCTGGAGACTGGAGATCCGAGATCAAGGCACCGGCAGAGCCAGGGTCTGCTGAGGACCCGCTTCCTGACTCAGAGGCGGCGTCTTCTCCCTGTATCCTCACGTGCAAGGAGGGGCAACAAAGCTCTCTGGGGCCCCTTCTCAGGGCACTAATCCCATTCATGAGGCTCCACCTCATGACCTAGTCGCCGCCCACCTGTAATCCCATCACACTGGGAGTGAGGATTTCAACATATGAATTTTGGGGGGACACAAACATCCAGTTCGTAACAGCTACTAGATAAAGCCCATCACTTAAGGATTATTCTGTGACACCATCCCGTCCTCAACGCTCTTGAGACTGTTTATGTTGCTTCCATCGGTGGGGTGGGAACGCTACACAGTGCAGAACTTCACATCTCCCTCTCGTCCCAACTTCAGGGTCAGGAACGTCCTGGTCACAGCTTGAACTGGCCACAGTGGGAGTATTGACACCCCAGGAACTGGCAAATGCTACAAGTCAGTCCTTTTTTTTTTTTTTTAATCCTGAAAGCTGGTTTCAACATCTGCCGGCACACCACTGGGCAGAAGGGAGGGCAGAGACCGCCTCACCCATGCTCTGTCCCTCTGCTATTGCTATGGACCTCCCAGCACCGTGCCACCAGCAAGAGCCCCTTGCTTCAAAAACATCCGAGATCTTATAATTTGTTAAGGAAAGATTTAAAGGCAGAAGTCTTTAGAGATTCGTAGGTGGCTACTATCATTCATAAGAGCTGGTAGGAACGGAAGGTAAAGGCATACCCCAAGACACTGCATCCTTTCCACTAGCTGACAAATTTCCAGAACCTTCCCAAGGGGACAGAAAGCCCTGAGTTCCTGTCCCTGCTTCCCCATCTCCCCAGTGAGCGGACCTGAAACTCGATTTCCTGGGCTTGAAGAACAGTGTCATTAGGGCAGAGCTACCAAGAAGATCGAACGAAATAATTTATGCAAAAACGCCAAGTGCCGTGCCAGGCACAGAAGGAGTGCTCGATTTATTTGAGTTTGCAGTGCTACGCCATAATATTTTGAACTTTTAACTAATGGTTCCTCCCCCACCCTATTTCCTCCTACCCCTTGTCTCCTTCCCGCTCAGTCAGCTTGGCATCTGGCTCATCACCTCTTGTGAGAGGATGCTGCCTGGCGCTGGCTTCCCGATGGAGAAGAGGGATTTTCTTTGGGAGGAGATCCCAGGAAACACCTGGGGGCAGTGGGAGAGCCAGCGTGATTGGAGTTACACAGTGTGTTCTGTCCAGTGAGTCCCCACCGTGGCAACTGGAGCTTAATGCCACTGGGGAACGCCAAGAGATGGCGTCGGACACGCACCCAGGACCATCCCACCTGAGGGCCGCGGGGGCCGCCATGCTTTGGGGACTGCCTCTGGGGAGCCCTGATATCCCGGCATTTCCAGCCAGGTGTGGTACTGGACAGAGGAGGCTCTGGTGGCCGCAGGAAGCCATCAGGCACAGAAATGCTGCCCGCAGTTGGCCCTGAAACGCTAAGTGAAGGGGGTGGATGGGCAGGGCACTCATTGGAGCTCCTGTGGCAGAAACAGAGTGAAGACATTTGAATTCCAAAAGCCTAAACCCTAAGGAAATAGACGAGTATGAGCCAGTTTTCCTAATCATCAGGTCATAATAGGCTCCGGTGGGGAGGGAGTGGAAGGGAAGAGAATCGGAGGAAGGGGAGACCGAGTCCCTCCAGCTCCACCCCAGTGGGGAGTAGCGTGCAGAGGAGACCTGGGACTCCATTCCCCGGGGGCATCTGGAAAGAGGGGTGTCGGGACACAGAGCATCACAGCCCAAAGCCTGTGTCCGGCAGGAGGGACGGAGGCAGCTTGCAGAGATCTCGTGCCCTGAGATGAGTTTCAGAGATGCCACATGAGGGGCATCTCGGCGGGACGTTCTCGGAGAGCTGAGGGCCCAGCGCCGCATGCTCCCTCCACACACACGAGCCCAACCTCACAGGAAAACAATAGAAGCCCAGCAGTGACTGCCACCTGGTAGGGACATGGGGCTTCACAGTAGAAATTACAGAAAAAGAGCGCTACGTTTCGGGCACACCTGCCACAATTATGATTTTGCTCTCTCAGCAGCCTGTTCTGTGATCACAGGCGTTAGTTAGCAAAACTAACGCCTTTTAGTAACAGCTGATCCCTGCCAGCAAGATAACGAGCTAACACCTTCCTCCAGGGAGATGGCACTTTCCTCAGGAAAACCTCAAAGGGCCATAGCTAATTGTGCTTATTCTGAATCAAGGAGGTGGTGAGTCTAGTGTCCCCATTGGACGGATGGGGAAAGTGGGGGGCCGGGGGT